TCTCCTCATATTATTAGCTTGGTTTAGGACTCCACAATGCATTGGTGTCTTTGGAGGTCTCCTTTGGACATGGCCAAACCACCTCAACCGATGTTGGACAAGCTTTTCTTCAATTGGTGCTATCTCTAGGCAATCACGTATATCATTGTTTCGAACTCGGTCCATTCTTGTGTGACCGTAAATCCATCACAACATACGCATTTCTGTAACACTCAGTTGTTGAACATGTCGAATCTTTATAGGTCAACATTCTGCTCCATACAACATAGCCGGTCTAATCGTCGTTCTATAGAACTTGCCTTTTAGCTTTTGTGGTACCCTCTTGTCACAGAGAATGCCAGAAGCTTGTCGCCACTTGATCCACCCTACTTTGATTCTATGGCTAACATCCACATCAATATCTCCATCCCTCTGTAGCATCGATCCCAGATACCGAAATGTATCCTTCTTAGTCACTACTTAACCTTCCAAACTCAGATCTCCCTCCTCCTGTACAACTCCGCCAAAGTCGCATCTCATGTATTCGGTTTTAGTTCTGCTCAATCTAAAACCTTTAGACTCAAGGATCTGCTGTCATAACTTTAGTTTCCTATTTACTTCCGTCTGGCTTTCGTCCACTAACACTACATCATCAGCGAACAACATACACCAAGGGATATCCCCTTGATGTTCCTGGTAACCTCATCCATTACCAAGGCAAAGAGATACGGGCTTAAGGCTGACCCTCGATGAAGTCCAATTTTAATCGGGAAGTAATCGTTTGTTCGAACACTAGTCACAACATTGTTGTACATTTTAGTCCACACCTTTAATATTTTGCTGTAAACTTTTGGTACTTATAACAAGGCTCCTCCACACCCTTTCAAAATAAAATTTCACATCTCTGTCTCTGCTCTGTTTATCTAGGTCTGTTTCTCGCTGCACGTCATGTCCAGAGTACATCGGAAGCACTCAAGAAGAAGAAAACACCGCTTCTTCCATGGTCTTAGCAGGAAATCGTAACCCCAGCTCGTGATTTTTAGCTATATAGGAGCAAAGCTGGTGCCAAGCCGGCAAGGCATCGCGACTGTCATCCTTTTCTCGAGGCAGTAGTGTGGTCACTTCAGAAAAGTGATCGAGGCTTTGACTATGTCAGTTAACTGGAAGCATGGATTATTCATGGAAGCTATGTTTGGGGCTCATGTTATGTACTCAGTAGCTGCTCTCTAGTCGTGTAAGCCGTTAATTACTGTGTGGAATTGTTACAGTAATCTACAGGAACTTTCAGTATGTCCGTATTTTTTTTTCGAAAGGACGGATAGCTTTTGTAGAGGCAAGGAAAATAAAGAAAAATGAGAGATTACAAAAAGGACAACAACAAAACCACTACTGTATGTCAGTTACTCTGTTCTCTACTTGTGTTCAGAGGCGGACCGACTTATAGGGCGAGCTTGGGCGGCCGCCCTAGGTCCCCTCCGGCGAGCACCACTAGTACCCCCCAGTTCTCCGGCAGTCCGGCCGGCGAGCAGCGTGTGAGCGAGCGGCGGCGGCCAGCGAGGCGACAGGCGAGTGCGTGACTACGTGAGGTTGAAGAAGGCCAAGGCATGCAGCTTTGCTTTGCTGGGCCGTCTGGCCAAAAAGGCCCATTTTGGCCCTTAGGGCTAGCCGCAAGGGGTCAGGGGCGCCCCGCATCGCACACAGGCGCGCCGCATCGGCATCGCAGGCTGCCAGGCTCGCAGCTCGAGCGCTCGGCGGGTGGCGACGCTCCAACTGGCTGGCGGCTGCGGCAGCACGGCGCTCCCCCCATTTCCAAGCCGGCGGCCAGCAAGGCGAGCAAGTAGCGGCGGGCGGCCCTACGCGGCTGCGCCCGGGTGGCCTCTATGGAGAGCAGGCAGCAGCAGATGAATGGAGGAGGAGGAGATGAAGCTGGAGCCGGTGATGCATCTAACCCGGTGACGGCGAGGAGGCCAGCGGCTCCAACTCCATTGAGCAAGAAGCGGTATAAGAAATTAGGTACTGTCATGAATCCATTATCCATTGCAAACTGTTAGTCAATTAAATAGGTAGAGATTGGTCTCTGACTGGTGAAATCAATTCAATGGTTAATTGGTTTTGCAGATTTGAAAAGCTTTTTTCCTAGTACAAATTCCACAAGTGGAAGCAACTCGGGGCCAAGTACTCGTGAAAGCGGTAACGTTGTTGTTCCTGAATCTGAAGAACAAGAAGAGCTACGAGATTCAGAGCCACATCCAGTAGAAACAGTACAAAATGTTGAACATCAAGAACCGTCGTCACATGAGCAAGATGTTGATGGTATTAAGGTTTTCAACCCGGATGTTCATCTTGTTTCTGATCCGAGCCTTCGTGTAGCAATTGATCAATTCCATCCAGACATTAGAGATGATGTTAGGATGGCTTATTTGGTGAAGGGCCCAACCAAACCTTATGGCCATAATTTTCCTAAGAAGCCAAATGATAAGAGGGTGTTTCTAAAGAATTGGTTACAACAATATGATTGGTTGAAATATAGTGTGGCTAAAGATGCAGCATTTTGCTTCTATTGCTTTCTTTTTAAGCAAAAGCCCTTAGAAACACATTTTGGTCATGATGCATCCAGTAAAGAGGGGTATAGAAATTGGAAAAATGCATATAATGGATTTCCTCAGCATGTTGGTGGCCCGACAAGCTGCCACAATAGAGCAAGGACAGCTTGTGAAGATTTTCGGAATCGGAGGGCAAGCGTCTCACATAAAATTGAGGCTTACAGTGTTGATGTAGAAAAGAAATATGAAACACGTGTGACGGCTTCTTTAGATGTTGCAAGTTATCTTCACAAGCTCATTCATTTCGAGGCCACGATGAATCTCCCTCTTCCTCAAATAGAGGGAATTTCTTAGAGATGATTGAGTGGCAAAAAAAAAAGGAATGGGGAGGTACGACTTGCATTTGAGGAGTTATGTCCATTAAATACCCAAATGCTTTCTCACAAGATTCAGAAGGATCTTTGTGCAAGTTTTGCAAGGGAGATAAAGGAAGTCATAAAGATAGAGATTGGCAATAAACTTTTTTCAGTTCTAATTGATGAATCTCGTGACATTACAATATAGATATGATATACATACATAGTTAGACCGGTATATCGGTTAAGTTTTGTATCTGTACATAGCGATCCGCCCTAGCTCATATTTTCGGCTGGGTCCGCCACTGCTTGTGTTACGCGTTTATTTTTATATGAAATTGCTACTGATGAAGTATATCAGCTTGTGTTCTCTAGTGGACTATAATATAATGTACAAGGCCCACAAGAGACTATGGTCATTATAGGGACATAAACGGTAAAAATGAGTGAATGTGTGGAGGTGCCGTCTTTTCCTCCCTATATATAAACAACCCATTATCGTAGAAATACAGTATGCAGGTTATTATATGATGAGATAAGAAGCCCTTATGTTTGGATCAAGATAGTCTATAAACGGGTTAGGGTTAGGTCTTGCTTCTACCTATCTGTTGTGTGCCTCCACGTTAGTTTTCTCCTCCATACTAAGCGGCTGCTGCTGCATGGATTGTTTCATTATCACGTCAATTCGTTCCATACTCACGTCAATTCACTTGAACTTATCAGCCGGCTTATCAGCTAGAATCTACAGTATTTTTCTCTCACAACAAAACAGCTTCAGCCGGCTTATCAGCTGGCTTTAATACCAGCCGAACAGGTTATATCACTTTTGACTCTTTTTGTTGAAGTTTATTTTTTTTATGTTGAATATGCTAGTTTGTGATAATAGTATAGACCATATAGATAGTACGTTACCTGTTTGTTTCAATATGTCTTGATTTTATCTATTGCATTTATGTGGATTAACATATGACAAAAATCGCTAAAAGTTCTTAATGGCTACAAGTAATAATCTACAGTTAGTGGCTAGGTTATGAGAACTCTTATCTAATACTTGTTCAGTGGCTAGGTAATGCGAACTCTTGTTCTATGTTTGTTCGAGTATGAGAAATTCATAATCTGATAATTTATTTTGCGTCTAGAAATTCAAAATATAATCGTATGCCTTACTTTGTTTCATACATTATCTAGTACTCTATATGACATTTTCCAATCCAATATAATGCATGGCAGCGGATGCGCATGGTCCAGGCAGAAAGAAACCAAAACCAGACATGTGAACTTTACATATAACCAAACATGATCATTTCAGAGATACGAGAGGGGAGCAAAAGCAAATGTGATCACTGAATCGAAGTACTGTACACTAGAATCATGGAACACTAGCCAACAAGTCCAACTAAAAGTGGTCCCAGCCCTGAAAGGCTGAACTGAGAAGTGAGAAAACCAGCAGCTAGCGGTAGAGACATCACATCTTGCATCTGCAAGATGGAACTACAAGACACCAACAGCGATGAGAGAAGTCTCTCAAAAGAGTCTCAACGGACTACAGGCGAGGTGAGCATGGAAAAGCAGGCATGCAGGCGGCCTCTTTCTGGAAGTCACAAAAGGGAGGGACAAGTTTGACACAACTGTGCCCCCTGCCCAAACTAGCCCCCAATGCAAGCACATTACAACCACCACCAGTGCACTAGAATTCACTGCACTAGTCCACACTGTTGTCCTGGACTGCTGGTGCTGCTGCTACACTACAACACACACACTACATGAGGACCACGGACCACCGCAAGCAGTAGCTAGAGCCCAGCCGGCAATCGCATGTTCAAGCCCCGGGTGAAATTACTGCTTACTGATTTGTTGTGAAAGAAAAATACTATTTGTTGACCGTAAAAGTACGGCTTATATAATAATTTGCATGCATCTGCAAATTCGCTATCAAATAGTACTAGACACTATTGCCTTTCTTCTGACATGCTTCTACATACTCCTATGCCTGATGCTACTAACCTAGGACAATGACAGCAACTCACTACTACTCCTTCCATGAGAATTCAGAGACATAAACTCACAGCAGACGTGCAAATTGTTCCAGTGAAGTGAAGAGCAGTGGCAGCCTGCATTGCTCTCACATGGTCCCTGCAGGGTAAGGGGAGCACCAGGAACTGAGGCTGAGCTCCAGGGATGCTGCTGCTGCTGCTGCTGCTGATGCATCTTGGTTGCCGGTGCCGGGCCGCTGGGTGGTGTTGCTGTAAAAGCTGTACTGCTCTTGCAGCTGCAGCAGCTGGTGTTGCTGCTGGATCCCAACGGAAGTGGCACTGGCAGTGGGACTGGCAGTTGTGGGCGCGGCACCCCAGAACGGCAAACTGCCGCCGCGGATGGTCTCGCCTGCTGGAACTGGGACTCCGTGCCGCGGGCGCCGGGGCTGGCTGTCGTCGCCGCCGGTCGGGAAGAGAGGGAGCGTCTGGGGCGCCCGCGTCACCGTCGGTGCCCGTGCCGCGGCCGCCGCCATCGTGTCCGACGACGAGAAGCTTGCCCACGGCGACGCGGCGGCGCCCGCGCTGCCCGTGCCCATCACGCCCATGTAGTCCTGCGCGCACCGCACCCAACAGTCACCGATGGATGGAACGTGTCGATTTGTTGTACGTGAAAAACTGCGTACGTGCAAGCCCCCCAAGAAAAGAATGTACTGTACCTGCAGGAAGCATGTCTCAGTGGCCATGGCAGCGCTGCCGCCCCATTCGGAACTCGTGTCCAGCAGCACGGTTGAGCCGGCGCCGCCATTGCCGGCGTAGAAGCCGAGGGTGGGCGAGGGAGGCGCCGCGCCTGATGATGCGCACACATGCATGTCAGTTTGCAATCACACATTTGATATATGCATGGGCGATCCGCTATCGAACAAATTAATGGCACCAACGCTGAAACGCATACCCACATACCTGAAGGCGACGACAGCGAGAGCACGCCGAGGTGGGTGCTGGCGTCGGCCGCGCCGGCTGCTGCGGCGGCGGGCACGTTGACGTCGAGGTTGGTGAGGCGGCGCTTCTGGCGCTCGCGGGCCTTGTGGTTCTGGAACCAGTAGAAGACGTTCTTGCCCTCGATCTTGCCGTGCTGGCGCAGCATGGCGGTGATGCGCTGGATCTGCTCCGAGTTGGGCGACCGGATGCCGCAGCCGTAGTAGAGCTCCTTGAGTATCCTGATCTGCTCCGGCGTCGGCGTCCACCGCGAGCCGCTGGGGCGGCACACCGCCGTCGCCACGCTGCCAGTAGCAGTGCCTCCTCCCGCTCCACCGCCGCCGCCCGCACTCCTGCCCGTGCCCACATTGGCCGCCATGCCTCCGATCTCGCCGGCCTTCCTGAGCTCCTGTGATCTCTCCGATCTGTGGCAAGGAGGAGGGAAGGGTTTGCCTTTGGCCTTGCCTTGGAAAAGGGAGAGGCATGAGGAAGGGTTTATAAGGAGGGGGTGCATAGGTGCATAGCATAGCAGCTAGAGGCTACAAGCTAGCTAGCATGCAGAGAGGGAGAGAGCGTAGCTGCGTGCTAGGTGCATGGTGAGATATAGGTTGGGGCCGGGAGGGGAGGATCATGAGGATACCACATATCTTTTGGAGAGAGACAAGTGAAGTTGACACACGAGGGCTCTTGCATTGGCCGCTCCAACACTTGAAATTTGGAAGAGAGAGAGAAGAGAGAGAGAGAGAGAGAGAGAGAGGAGGAGGAGGAGGAGGAGGCGAGGAGCATGCAGAGTGCTAGGGGGTGTGTGGAAGGCCAGGCTCCCCTTGTGGCAACCGCACCCGCAACTGCCAGCCATTGCATTCCTGATCGGACGGCCGGCCTACGCGCAGGAGCTGCTGGTGGTGAAGCCTGTCTGCCTTCCAGCTGCTGGTGCAAACTGCATAGCCTACACATGCACAACCATGCCGTATAGCACTGCTGCATACACTAGCTAGTGCATCATTGCTCTTGCAGCTCCATTGTTCAATGCTCATTGCGCGCTCTGATCTCTCCGTGTGATCTCGTGAGTGAGAAAAGGAAGAAGGCGAGAAGAGACGTGTTCATACATCGATCGAGCTGGGTTTGGGGAAACCGGGCAACCCGTACGCGCTGTGTGAGGAATCAGATGTGAGACAACGATCACAACATGCATGTGGCCTCGTCACCAGTTTTTGTCAATTTGACTGGAATTTTTTTTTTCTGGAGATACTCTCTGTATCCTTTCTGTCAGGAATAAAAAATTTAGTGAAAAACTATCCTCCAATAGCTTCTCTAAATGGTTATCTAAATATAGCTATCTTCTATTCCAGAACTTTCGTTAGCTAAAAATAAAAGATGAGAATGACTCTAGATATAGAAAAACTGTTGGAGAGTGAAAAGATATAGAAAACGAATTTTATGCAAATAACTCTTCAAATGATGATCTAGAGAGTAGGATTTAGAAAGACTCTTAGGATATTCTTAGATTTATTTGCAAAATTAAGATATTGTGATTGTTATGTTCCAACACTGAGATGACTCAAGAGTTAGTTGGATACGTGGAGTACATGGACCGATCACGGCCGGCGTAGCCGTTGCTCTACATCAGTTTTTCGTTTCTGAAAAGAAAAAACATGCACGCGGCCGGCTTCAGGCTGCATGATGCTACTACTCAAATACAAAGGCCCCATTCGGCTTACCTTAAAAACGACACTATTTAGTTTATTTTTTTCAACGAAACCATGTTTTCTCTCATAATAATTCAACAAGAACAGTGTTTTCCAACCAATTTCATCCAAGATTCAGCAAGTCAAACGAAAAAAAAATACACGCATATTTTTTGAGGTCAGATATACGTACACTCACAAGCTACTACTGAAGTGAGTATACTACTACTACTAGCTTTCACACAAATCCTTTGGGATGCCATGATTGCTTCATGGACAGGTGAAGTCGTAGCTAGGTACGCGCGGGAGCCTGCATCCGGCATATAGAATGCATAATATTCGCGGGCATTGAACTAACCACGCACTTTTTTCAGTACCACCAATGCGTGCGTACGTCCGGTGGCTCACTGCCTCACTCTACTAGTACCAGTCTACGGTGGGCTGTGGCATACGATCCCAGTCCAGGACTAGAAATTCTGTACAACCGTACGTGTGGAAATACATGCATGCCCCTCTAATTTAGGGGATGTTTAAATCCGACGGCTAAAGTTTAAGGGTATCACATTGGATATAATATAGAAGTGTCACATGGGAGTATTCAGATAGTAATAATAAAACAAATTACACAAGTTCTCAGTAATCCGCTAGACGAATTTATTAAGCCTAATTAATCCATCATTAGCATATGTTAATGTAGCACCACGTTATCAAATCATGAATTAATTAGGTTTTAAAAATTCGTCTCACAAATTAGTCTCAATCGGTGCATTTAGTTTCATAATAAGTCTATATTTAATACTCTATGCATATGTCTATGTCCAAACATCTGATGTGATAGGGACTAAAGTTTAGAAGAGGAAAACAAACAAGGCCTTAGTACTCCCTCGCTTCCCAAAAAAAGTGCAGTTATAATTTTGAACCAAAAAAGTGCAGTTATAAATTTGAATCAAGTTATTTGAAGAAATGTTACCAGAGCATATATGGTAAGACGCTTGAAAAAGGTAAATAATAGCCGGTATATGTAAATATCGTCCTTAGAATAAAAATGACAGATGAACTGATTGTTTGTCATCACACCCTTAGATATTTTACGGTTGTTGTACATTTTTAAATTAGTAAGTTTTACCTAAAAACAGAGAGCATATGTTGACAATCAGATTGAGGCAAGTAGAATCCAAGTGCTAATCTCTTCCAACCCCATATCTTATTGTTCATCATTTCTCTCCATAAGATTCTGAACATTCTAGCTAGCCTTGTCCACCTTAGGGCGTCCCAACAATGACTGAGAAATCGCTAGCAAAGTAACCTTAAAAAATAATAAAGAATGAACATCAGAACGCGGAGCGGAACCTGCTGTGAGAGAGAACTTTTCGAACTACGTGCGAGATAGGCTATTGCTCTCTCACTAGCGCGGTGTTTAGGTCTTGTTTAGATACCCTCAAAATTCCAATTTTTTTCACTCTCTCTCCATCACATTAATTTTTAACTGTTTGCATGGAGCATTAAATATAGGTAAAAAAAAATAACTAATTGCACAGTTTAGTTGGAAATCACGAGATGAATCTTTTGAGCTTAGTTGGTTCACGATTGGATAATATTTACCAAATAAGACGAAAGTACTTCTATTCATCGAGTTGAAATTTTTTTCAATCTAAACAAAGTCTTAGTTTCATTTTCAGCCAATAAAATTTGGCCCAGGCTAGCGATTTGGCCCTTGTTTAGTTGGAGTTTAAAATTCCAAAAAGTGCTACAAGTACCTGTCACATCGAATGTTTACGGCTTATGCATGGAGCATTAAATGTAGACGAAAAAAAAACTAATTGCACAGTTTAGTGGGAAATTACGAGACGAACGTTTTGAGTCTATTTAGTCCATGTTTGAATAATAATTGCCAAATAAAAATGAAGATGCTACAATAACCCTAAATTCTAAATTCATGGAACTAAACAAGGGCTTTGGTTCTTGTTGGGGACAACCTTAGAACACCCCCCTAGGCGCGTCTCCCTGACATGTCTTTCTAGTTGGCGTTCACAGGTCTTCAGACCACGGGTTGATATATTTTGGGATCCGAGCGCTTGAATTCTTCCGGGTCTCTTTGTAATGTAGGATTGAAAAAATATACAAGCATATAAAATATATAATAATAAGATATGAATGCACATATGCAAAATAGAAGAATAGAAAACACAGGAATTTTGAAAGAACGGATGTTTGTGTTTGGGTCAGAAAAAACACAAGAAACATGATGTTTGAGCGGCATAGAAAACAAGAAAAACAGAAGAAAAGAAACCAAATAATACTTCAATAACTCAATCTATAGGAATAGAAATCATACATTTTTTCCTTTGTTTTTTTATCTCAAATCTAAAAGGGACCTTCAATGCGCGACTTTTGTGGCGCAACAGACAGAAAACTTGGAGCCTCCAATGATAAACCTTGCCCAGGCTGTTAGGGATCAGTATTTGGTATTATATCACTTTCGTTTGTATTTGACAATTATTATCCAATCATGGTTTAACTAGGCTCAAAAGATTCGTCTTATAATTTACAATCAAACTGTGTAATTAATTATTTTTTTATCTACATTTAATACTCTATGCATGTGTCAAAGATTTGATGTGACGGAGAGAGAGTGAAAAAACTTGTAATCTAAACAAGGCCTTGTTTAGTTCCACCCCAACTTCCAAAAAGTTATCATTCATTTCACACGCGGTCCCTAGTCCCGTGCATGGAGCATTAAATACGCAGTACGAAAAGAAAAACTAATTGCTTGATTTGGTGTGGAAATCACGAGATCAACGTTTTTGAGCCCAAACGCCATGTTTGAACACTATTTGTCGGCAAAATGAGGGCCTGCTGCTTAGATTAAAATCCAAATTTCCGGAACTAAGCGAGGGCTTATAATCTAAACAATGCCAGCATATGAGCCGCCCTTGCACAGTGATATCATTCATTTACACACCAAGCGGTCCCTAGTCCCACAGTGGGAGTACTACGCAGTAGGAGTAGTAACTGACTTGATCCTTGTGCTGATCACGAGATCACCGCTAGACGCTCCAAACGCCTGTAGAATGAGTATTCTGTCGGCAGTACTAGAGATGCTCCAATGGCAGAAGCTTATGCTTTGCAGGAAGGTTTGAACTTGGTGAATCAAATTGGCTGTAGTAATTTCATGGTGCAGTCGGACTGCCGAGAAGTGGTCAACACAGTGATGGATGGTGGCTTCACGGCATCAGCGGCTACACCAATTTTTGAGGTTTGCTATAATATATGGAAAGATCTTCCGATGGCTACAATCGAGCACTGTCATAGAGAGTCGAATCAAGTTGCTCAAGAGCTAGCTCGGTAAGCTTTAGTTGCAAAAGCTTCTTGTTGGGTTGATTCACAACCCCCGTTTATTACTGCACTTTTAGCAAATGATGTAACACTCTTATCTGATGAATAAAGCTTGCCGTTTGGCTTTGTAAAAAAAAAGTCAAGGAGAGCATGTAGATAGACGTACTGCAATTCTACCACTGCAAGAAGTCAATTCATATCAATTTTGGCTAAATGGTACTCCTACGTGAAATGGTATTAATATTTATCATATTAAATAGTTGTCGGCAAATTCGTCATGCAATATATTTTTATAGTATATCTATTTGGAATTATAAGTATTTGGTACTATTTTTGTTAGTTAAATTTAAGATAGTTT